TTAAAATAAAACTGGTTTGAGTTGAATCCAATTTCTAATTCCATTATTTTGTTTTGCCAATTTTGAAATATCCAACATTCTTTAAAAAAAATAAAATAATAGATAAATAAAAAAAAGAGCATCYGTTGAGATTTTGAAGCCACCTGAGCGAGTGACCCATGTGGCCAAATTACGATAAGACCTCTCCCACAAGCTTCCATGGCCGTCTCCTTAGGGCTTTGATCACTCCCCACAGACCGMCGTCTTCTTCGTCTTTTTCTCCGTCACTCCAAGTCGTCGTTATATTCTCCTYCTTTCTTTCATAACTACCCTATAAGCAACCACAAGGTAACTTTCCATTTCTGTCWGATGTTCTTGATCAATTATAGCTATGAAGATTCTAATTTCATATTCCTTGTTGATGTGGATTTATCAAGTTTATTGATCACTAACTGAATCTATTTAATCACCAAGTTATTTTTGTATGTGTGTTTGATTCATGATCGGGACATCAGTTCTTGTAGCTATTTTCGCATGATAAAATACTATTCGTCGAGCAGGGAACTGATCTACTCCAATTGATATGGTGTGTTCAGTTAGGGTTTTAGGATTTGGGTCGGAAGCAATATTTTGGTGTTTAGTTTTACTAGAAATGAAATAAAGGACACKGTCTTTTTGTACTACTGGGTACATGGTAGATCGTTTGAAATTCGTTCGTATTTGGCACACCAACAAGAGGAGAACGGAGGTTGTATAGTAGTAGTTCAAAACTAAATAAGAACTTCATCTGCAAGAATTATGGAAAAATGGTTAGGGTGATATGCGTAAAGAAGTTTAATTTTGTATAGTAGTCTATGTTCCATGTATATATCGCTTTTCTACCCCAAWTTTTTTGCGTTCTTCTTAGGAGAGAGAATGTGAGATGAGAAGCAGATAGAAATTGGAGGGAGATAATGACGTTTGATCATAATTTTCAACAACATTTTATGGTTACAGTAGATAAGAAAAGCAATTGTTTTTCCTTTCATTTTCATATGGGCCCTCTAAATGGTTTAATTTCCTATCATATCCGATTAAATGGATTCTTATACTGAATTTTGTCCTCTTTACGGTTTATGTATATGTACACGTGTATGTAATATGTATATATGTACCCATACGTAAAGGACATGTATGTATTCTCTAAAAAAGATGTATAAAGAAAGTTTGTTCCCCAAACACAGGCCGTCAGAAATTATGAATCGGTGAGTTGGGGTACTGGCTTGCATGTAGAAAGAAGTAGAAACTAGGTAAAACCTGTTGGGATCAATGCATACTCATCATAGTGGTTATGGGGATCATAAAGTTATGGTCAAATGAAATTGTATCAGAATATTTAGGTTACCTATGATGTTCAATCGGGCAGCAACCAGCAATTGCTGTAATTAGTTTATTTATGTAATAAACAATGATTTTGTGTCAATTTTGTCCTGAAGGCTAAAGTAATTGATTATTACTTGAAAATATTTAATAGAAGGGCCCTGCATAACTTTTTTCTGCACAAGTGATTTTGAAAACTTGATATCTATCAGTCCATGAATTAATTAAGGAAATACAAATGCATGAAGTATTTAAAGCAACTGGTATAAAAATTTATACTATCTGTGTACGGAAGATGGACTCAGCATTTAGAGTATTTACGACTATTTGGTTATTTTTATTAATTATTAAGGATACAGTCTGTATCAAGTTCCTTGTTCCCTAAGTTTAGATCGGGGAATTTGTTTTATACAAGTCATGCCGTTATTTATTATCATTGAACTATTGAATGAATGCAGTTGTATTTAGGATTRATACACCTCTCTTTGATTAGGTTATATAGGGTGTCATGCTCAAGAAATCCCAARTATTAGGTGTGAAGCTTTCGTGCACTAAAAAGGTGGTATCAAGACGGTTTCTTCTTTAGGTTTTTAGTTGATAGGAGAAGATTGTAATCATAACTGGTGCCGTCTTCATAAAGATTCCTATTCGTAATCCCTATTAATTCCAGCCTCCATTGTCAACCTTAGTTATCTGCAAAAGAATAATTTGCAGATAAACTTACTGTTCTTCGCTTTTTCCCCGTTGCTGAAGTCTTTTTAGTCATTGTTCATCCAGTGGTTATAGGAGACATCTCTTCACAAATAGAGTTTCCTGCTAATTCAGAAAGAAATGAATGGAGAGCAGGTCCATGCTTTTTCCCACCAGCACTCTCCACATATGCAATTTGTTTTCTATTTACGAAAGCTTTGTGCAACTCTGATATCCTGAAGGTTAATTGAGGGCTTTTGCAATTATCACGTATGTAAYAAATTACATGGTCATGTCTGTGAATTAACGTCATGCTTGTCAACAGACAATCATGGAGCAAGTCTTTTACTCCTATAGCATGACGCAAGGCTTGGCAGGCATCTTTTTTATTAATGAAATAATTGAAATAAGGTTTCACATCTGAAATTTATAATAGTAATTTAGATGGAAAACATAATTGTCATGTTCGAAGTTTGGATCTTATCCCGGTAAGGATCTACAATGAAGAAATATAAATGCATGCTTTCTACAGATTAAAGACAGGGACTAAATTACATTTGTATAGCATGTTTCCTGGTAAGCATGGCATTATTATTGATTAGAARCACTATATGACAACATTTAATATATTATGATTAAATCGATTTTGAAATTTCCTCCACATTAGGATTGCATWTATTTTATGAACCGTGGTGTTCTGTTCAGCTGGCCTTGCATATTATTTTCTAATGGCATGTTTAGCGATCCCTCATGCAAGTATACCTTGTTACCTCATTGGAGGCAGTGATTTTCTTCTAGATCATTAAATAGCAAAGCTCATCCAGTTTCTTAAGAAATGTTAGTTATTCTCTTTTTGGAATCTATAGCACAAAATAAGGCATGTGAGGAACCAAGAAAATTGTAAAATAAAGAATGAAAAATAAACATCTAAAGACCCATCTCAATTAGGGCTGATGGGTAGTGAAGAATGAAGAGTTGAAAAGGGGCATGTGAAGTACTTATTGCTAGTGCTATTATTCACTGAAGAAAGGTTGTGCTGGAAACCTCAAATCCATCCACTGGACATGTTTGAGAACTCTCTGTGCCCAAGTTTTCTCTCTCATGGAGGATCGCTRTCCTGTTTAACACTTCAACATGAATGATGTTTCTTTTGCCTGATAACTTACAAAAGCATATATCAGTTAACAAGACCACATGAGGATCCAACAAATGGCATCTAAAGCCTTGGCTACTATCTTATGYGCCATTCCCAGTAGGCATCCACAAATCCAGTCTGGTAATATTGAGTTATTGACATGTCTTGAGTCATGGTTTTGCTACCATATTATATGTGTATGGAGTTAAATGTTGGCTAGTTTGCTGTCAATTTGAGCATTAAATCATCTTCTGAATATATAAAGGTGGAGGTAATTATTAAAATAAAAGGGGGACCTTGGTGTGCSAAGGCTCTTTGGCTTTATGAGGGTTGTGGAGGAAAGTTCTTACATAATATTTCTCTTGCACTTKTTGATGGGGCTGTTTTTGTGATTCACCTATGATCCTTGGACCATAAAGGGGTAATCTTATCTGTTTTAGACTATCACAACGACCGTTGATAGGGACTAAATAAGCTCCAAAAGTTCCCTTAGACAGCTTGGATTTTACTAGTGTCAAAAAGATGGTTTMTGCTTCTTTTGTCATCAGTGATGGGGTGGAAGGATGAAATGGTAGGATCTGAAATGTAGTTACAATGTTAAAATGCAGAGGGTAAATAAGTTACTCAGAACCACTTAATAAGAGAGTGAATAGAGAATATTTTTGAACAACATTAATAATCAACAAAGCCACAATCAAATAAYGAGAACCTCATTAAACCTGCAGGTAAAGAAAGGAGGGGGAATATCGAAGGACCTTGGTTTGACTGAAGTATGAAGAATTTGACTAGCATAGGCAACCTGGAAATTTTAGATAGTTGAAGGATGGCATGATTATTCTCTTACTAATCATAAGAGTGAGTGAYGGGCTTGTAACAGCATGTCCTTCTCAATCTTTGTTTCTTTTCACCCAAACTTGAGTTGATTAGTCGGGACTGTTATTTTCTTTCTCTTTTCTTGATAATAGATTTATACAGATCAAATCTGTTACTTTTATATTTAACAAAACTTAGATAGGTACATAAAAATGCTATGCTTTCTGTTATCTAATGAATGATTTTGAATTATTTTGGTGTTCTGCTTCTCATTGATAGACGGGATCTCTCCCCTTACGTAGTTGTTCTGAGGTTCCYGGATATCTTCCATGAAGGCAAAATCATTTGAATTGGATCATGTAGGTATATGTACTTGAAGAATTGAAGTTATGAGATCATACCTTGGATCCTGTGCTATTGCTTGTTCTTATCTTGGTAAACCAGCGAAAAGGCAAGATGCCATCTAATTATTTTTCAAGACTGAGAGGTTCATTCAGACAGGGGATCCAACGATCCTATGTTGTTTTAGAAGGTAGCTTCCTGGACTCATTGGAAGTTCTACCTGTCAATGGGAAATTGTTGTTTGACAAGCCGGCGTTCTACTACAGAACATTTGCAGCATTTAGTGACCTAAATATTCTATTTCAACGTGGTACTCCTGTTGCTGCTCAATCAAATATACAGTCGGCTAGTAAAAAAAAGAACCTTTCGGTTGTTGGAGCTGTTTCACGGACATTATCAATCCCATCTGTGTCAGGGCCACCATTTCAAGTTTGTGGGTATCACGTYGATAATTTGCTGGCTGGGCGTAGTCGTTTCCCTCTTGGGATTGGTAGTCATAAGGTGCCTATGTCTCTATCCGGCTCTAATGCTTTACTTGGGAGATATTCTCTGAATAACTTAACTCCCAGGCGTGGGCAGCTCATGGTATCGATCGACAATTCTAATATTTCCTTCTGTAGAAGTTTCCAAAGTGGCTGCAAGATTAGYATGAGTTTGAGAAATAAGGAACATCCAGATAGTTTCTTCCCGTATGGATACTTCTTATGGCATGTTGCAAAGACAAGTGGTAACTGGAATCCATTTGTAGGTTCTGAATGGAAGGGCTTCCACATCTCATCACCAGCATGTTTTTCTGCATGTACAGCCCCTAATGCGTCCYTTGACAACTCTGTATGTGATGATCACCTTACAACTCCTGCAGACTCTAATGATAGGTAGTAGTGTTTTGTTTATAAGTGGTTTATCTGTTAAATGTTCGTGGCTTGTGATTGAATAAACTCTGTTGAGAAAATTTAGAACATAACTAGTCAAATGATACCTGTCACTACAACAAAATTGGGTTTATAGGACACAAAAAATGTCTAAATGTTCTAATAGACTGTTTTATAGGACTTAGGTTTATAAGACCAAACAATTATGCGTCCTATGTAAACGTGCTACAATAAGTTATAGAAGGGTTTTGGGAGTCTTAACAAGTTTATTAGGACACTTTTGAAATAGAATGTTGTTTTAGTTTTCTTATACGACATTGGAAACGTGTTCTATAAAAACAATTGTSTTATAAAAGGATGTGTTTATAGAATACTTCTTAGAAGTCCTTAAAGAAACTAATAAGACACTTTATTTTAGAAGTGTCCTAAAAAAACTTATTAAAACGCCTAAAAACGTYCTATAAACTTATTGCAACACTTCTACTTGGGACGAACAATTGTTTAGTATTATAAAGCAGTCTATTAGGACATTTAGACAATTTTGRTGTCCTATAAACCTGATTTTGTTGTAGTGTGTTGAGTTCTATTAAACTCATATACCATTTGGTCCTGACCACAGGTCAAGCCTAGCGAATAGATCACTCAAGCTGCTTTCAGGATCATGTAGCTTACCCCATCCTGAAAAGGAGGAAACTGGTGGTGAGGATGCTCACTTTATTTGTTCAGACAAAAAAGCTATAGGTGTTGCTGATGGTGTAGGTGGATGGGCTGAACTCGGTATTGATGCTGGGATATATGCACGAGAACTTATGTCTAATTCGTTAAGCGCAGTACTAGATGAACCTACGGGTTCTACTGATCCAGCCAGGGTATTGGAAAAAGCTCATTCAAGCACTAAAGCCAAAGGATCTTCAACTGCATGCATTATTGCACTCACTGATCAGGTACTCGTATATTTCAATCAGTTTTTATGAAGTTAAATTTATGTAACAATGGGAAACTAGGAATTGAAAAGAAGTCGTCATGGTTTTCTTTTCTGGCATTAGATTGAGTTTTGATATTCTCAAAGTAGTGCATCAGTAATTTAGTTTCTCCTCATGCAGGGTCTCAGTGCCATTAATTTAGGTGACAGTGGGTTCATGGTGGTTAGAGATGGATGTACTATTTTTCGTTCTCCTGCACAGCAGCACAATTTCAATTTCACATATCAATTGGAGAATGGTAGAAAYGGCGATTTACCCAGCTCTGGTCAGGTTGGTCAGCGCATGCCATTCTTTATTTACTTTGCGCCCTAATTTTCTTCTACACGCATTTGCATCATCATATATTAAATTTGAGGGACTTTTTTGCAAGCCAGGGGTCTTCGCGGTTCACTTTCCACGGTAGGGGTCAGGTCTTTGTACATCTCACCCTTTATATTAAATTTTAGTAAAAGGGGTTGGTGCCTCTTTTKGCTCTTGTATCCATTTTCTTCGCATTCACTTGCAATAGATGAATATCTACAACTTTTTATCAGTTCTGACCGTACAGATGGAAGAGCATTTTCTTCACCTTCGCCCACAAAGATAAATTATCTACAACTTTTATCATTTCTGACGTACAGATGGAAGAACGACATATATGTATACGATCTTGTTTACCTYGTTTCTTTCTTTCCTTTTTTCATCTAGTGTTAACAGTAGGAATTGAGCACTTTTATGGGYTCAATTGAAGTGCTGTTTTTATAGATAAAATGGCAATTGCTGTAGTTAATAATGGAACTAATGAACAAAAAGTGATTGATGATGCAGGTATTCACACTTCCTGTTGCTCCAGGAGACGTGATAGTAGCAGGGACTGATGGACTGTTTGATAATTTGTACAACAATGATATTACGGCAGTGGTGGTTCATGCRGTGAGAGCCGGGTTGGGGCCTCAGGTGATGGCTCAAAAGTTAGCAGCTTTGGCACAGCAGAGGGCACACGAAAAGGACAGGCAGACACCTTTCTCCGCTGCTGCCCAGGAAGCAGGRTTCCGTTATTATGGTGGCAAGCTTGATGATATCACTGTTGTCGTCTCCTATATTACCACTTCCAAAGAGGTATGTCCTCTCCTCTATCTATACTCTATATTATAAAACATTTAGTCAAGAGTCTTAAAGACAACTTGTTAAGCATTAGATATTGCTTAGGGGCCGTTACCAAATGCTTACYCGAGTAAGTGTTTACARCCAAAATTCAACACTATCAGTTRCTTACCTGATAGAGTAAACTACGATTTTCGTCCCTGTGGTTTGTGAAAGATTGYGATTTTCGTCCTTGTGGTTTTGAAATTTCTATWTTTGTYCCTAGGGTTTGTAAGTTATTGCTGTTTTTGTCCCTATGGTTTATAATTTATTGTTGTTTTYRTCCTCRAAGCTAAATCAATTAAAAATYCTCCCATTTAGCTTACGAGTATTTTAGTCTTTTTATTTTCCTCCCTTTTTGTTCTATTAAGTATCTTCTTTGGTTTCTTCTTGATTTTAGTGAAACTATATATATATATATATATTTTGATAAAAAGATAATACATAAAAAATTATATTGTTTTGTTATTGATTAGATAAGGTAATTACATATTTTTCATACATTTCGTTTTTTCATATTTTTATTTATTATWAGTTTTAGTTTCTTATTAGTTCGATTTCTATCACTAAGTCATTAAGTGCAAGTCGTTAAGTACCCCTTAGATGATAGTATTTTAATTMTTTTTTCTTCATTAGGGATCATAAGAAACTAAGACTATAATGAACAAAAATATATAAAAAAAAAAATGTATTGAAACTGCTTTTCCTTTGATCTACGGTCTGCCATCCCTTGTCAGCTAGGCTAGTTAGCTAATTCCTTCCAAAATTTAGTTATTTTATCATAAACGATTACAAAATTATATAATTTTATGTATTATTTTTTTTAYCGAAAAATACATAGTTTTATTAAATAAAAAAGACTAAAATACGARAAAGGAAATCAAAAATATATATCTGATAAACCAAAAAAGAATTTTTTATCCTTTCAAAAAGACTAAAATACCCTTAAGTTAATGAAGGATTTTTAACATGTAACAACAATAAATTACAAACCATAGGGACGAAAATCGCAATCTTTTCAAACCACAGGGACGAAAATCTTAGTTTACTCTTATCTATATAAAGAACTCTACCATCAAAACTAAAATATTGAAATTATAATAAAATTTGAATGTAATAAATTATACCTAAAAAATTAAAGTTTTATAATATTTAATCAAATAAATTATATTTTTTTTTCGGGTTCTTTTACCGGGTCTTTAAATTAGAAAGATGTATTCAACCACTAATTGTAATTTCTATTTTATTGCAACACAAATTCCGTATTTTCTTTGTTAACAAGAAATAGCATTAATTTTTAATTCTCGGTTTACAATAAATCTTGCATGCCTTTATATCGCACGGGTATGCATCTATAATGCGTATGCGTTCTTCAAGTTGCAAGAAAACTTATACTCGTATGTATAATTGTTGTGCAGGACGAGTCTTCATCGTCCAGCCCTACGTAGTYGATTGAGCAGCGAAGATCTATGATGCTGGTAATCGAACGAACTCCCTTTTTATGGCCAAATATTTTGTAATGAGTTATGATGGATATCAGAAATGTATATATAATTTACCATATTGTGTTATGTTGTTGAGGGATAGCATAATAAAGTGTAGGGTTAGGGAGTCTGATCTTTATACCAAGTGTTTGGATGTTTTAACTCATCTTGAAAGCTATTTTGGTAATAAAGGGAGGWAGATGAGAAGGTGAAGGCTTCTCTTTTCTCATATTCACTTGTGATTATTTATAAGTTGCTTTTAGTAGAATGAAATATCATCATCATCATCATCATATAAGAAGTATGGCGTTTGGTTTTCCATCAAGTCTTGTATGTATAGAACTGTCTGTGTGGATTAATATGTTTCTATAGATTGAGAAGGTATTTATCTGGGAAGGGCTTTTCATGATGGAAGGAGCGTGTTTTTTATTTGGTAGGGACATTGGGAGAAAAACTTGGTTTAATACTTAAAAACTTATTGAATAAGCCACTCTCCATATCATTAAGCCATTACCAGATGGTCATGTATAGATGACCGAATAAGCCGTGAATCTTGTTAAATTCATTAAGCGAGTGATGTCTGAAGTTGAACCTTCAATTATTTTGCAAAGATCATACCTCCTTTCCTTGTCTGTTGGGTCAAAGCTTCAATTGTTATTCAAATTAACCTCCTCGGATTATYGTGTTGCAAATTTATCTCTCATTAATCAATACTTTGCGGTGGATTACTTATGGGTATCATTTTCACAAGCGGGCTACTGTATCTAAATCGAAACCTTGGCTAGGGCACTTTTTGTCGCTAATCCGATAGACGATCTTAATTTTTGGATTTATRGTGTTGTCAATGGTCGCTCTTTACTTCTTCGGTTTGGAAAACTATGTAATATGACTGAATAAACATTTAGGTATGTGATTAATTGTCACTTTATTGTAAAATCATATTTACTCTCTTCCGTTACAATTACAGTAATCACCCCTAAATTGAGATTGGGAGTTAGATGAAAACCTAGATAACATCGTAGCTTGTTTCAGAWCAAAATTTGACAGACTTGTTCCAAAACAAGAAAACAACAAAGAGGTAAAAAGCTCCACAGAAATATCGCTTTAAAAACAGAGTTAAGACCATATTTTAGGCTGAGATGTAATGAATTCATTTAAGTTGGTTTGGTTTGGTTASGAGGAGAGAAAGGATGCCATCTAATTATTGAAGTTAATTATTGAAGACAMGGAACTTCTTATCTATACTATATTATAAAATATTTGACAAAAATTTTGAAAAACCATTTTTTATGCATAAAGTATTGTATATTAATACATATTACTTAAAATTCAAGATTACAAGTAAATTATGCATTAAGGACAACTTATTAAAGTTCAATGTTTGAATTCGTGTAACTAACTACGGATAAACATAATCAAATAGAGGATAAACATCTCATTTAAAAAAAATCTAAAATATAATTAGGATAATTATYGAGTTTCTAACCGAATGTTTAATTATTATCTTTAATAAAAATTATATTATTAAACCAAAAATAAATTACTTTGTTATTATACCTAAATTAAATTATAATAAGAAATTGAATTAAAGAAGTTACACAAAAAAAAACTATTAAATAGTTAATTTAATACTAATATCGATTTTTTTAATTTTTTTTTACGCTATCTTCAAATTTATATTTCATTCAAAAATAAAAACATTATCACTTTCTCAAAACCACATAAAATTGTATTACATTGATAGAGACAAATAATAAAAATTAAACATTAAAATAGATATTTATTTCGCTACATTACGAAAGTACCTTCTAGTCAACATTAAATAGGTTAAACCTTTTCAATGATATACTTTAAATTAGTTCTTATTTTTTTTAAAATGAAAAAGTCTAAAAAAATCCAACAAACTTTCTCATTTTAAATTATTTAGTCTTTAAATTATTTTTTTGAATGAAAAAACCCATTAAACTTTCTAATTTTGAATGATTAAGTTTTCGAACTATTTTTTTGAATGAAAAAAAACATTAAACTTTCACATTTTAAATGATTAAGTCCCTGATTTTCATAAAAAAAAAATAAACAAACCATCGAACTTCTTTTACTAGTAGGTTAATGTAATTATTTTTTTGGGTTAAAAGAATGTAGGTAATTAATTTTTAAAAGTGTAATGATTTTTTTAAAATGTTTAGGTACTTAATCAATCAAAATGAGAATGTTTAATGGTTTTTGTTCATTCAAAAAAAGAATGTTTAATGGTTCTTTCATTAAAAAAAAAATAGTTCAGAAACTTAATCATTCAAAATGAGAAAATTTAATGGTTTTTTTCATTTAAAAAAAATAGTTCATAAACTTAATCATTCAAAAAAAGATTGATGGTTGGATTTTTTAGAAATTTTTCCATTAAAAAATTTATTTTTTTTAAGCACATAATATAACATATATTTACTTMAGAAAGAATATAACATATATAATTTTTGTCAATTTTGAAGTTAATAGATCTAATAAACGAATTAAAAATGCAATATTACAACAAAAGAAATTGGTTCATGGAAGGATATAGTAAAAGAAAAAAACGAGAACARATAAATCATATGTGATTTTATATYAAAGTCATATACGATTACAACGCTTATTTAGGTCACAAYCAARTTTTATAACTAAAATCAYATGTGATTCGACCATTTTCATATTMTTCTATTTTAACCTTATTATCGTTTGAAACTTCCTCTAATAAACAAAAWTAAAAAGTGCATTGCTATTTATTATATTCTACTGTTTGAAAAWTTTAAAATATCTATACTATATTATAAAGCATTTGGCTAAAAMTCTTAAAAAACTCTTAAACTCATTCATCCCTAAACGATTTCATCCATATCCGATTTCATCCCATATCTGAATTCGTATAACTAACTGCAGATAAACACAATCAAATACAGGAT